TTCTTAATCAGTTTGAGGATGCAAGTATTTTCCTCTTGGGTATAGATTCTTTAACACAAAAGAAAGCAATTTCCAACGTTTCAGAGCTGTAGTGGAGATGGTTGTGTTGTGGTGACCAGGCAAAGTGCCTGAGTAGCCAAAACTGGCGACCCAGTCTTTGGTGTGAGATTTCCCACCCACCACAGTAAATTGCCGGGCGAAAATGGAGAGAATAACTAAATGAAACAAGAGCTTTCCAATGAATATATTTTCATTAAATTTGACTTAGAATTGATGGTGTTCCATATCAAGTGCTGTGTTCTGTTTGCTCAAAATGCCATGACCACAGATCAACATCTCAAATTCTTTCAATTCTTCCCTGAACAGTGAAAATTCAACATGCCAAAATCAGAGGAATGACATCTAGTACCCCAAGCTCTCATTACATCAGTTGTTGATATCTACTTTAAAGAACTGTTAGACAAAGTTCAAAAAGATCACCAACATCTATTATTGAGATTTACAAAATATGAACTCATTCACTTTCTCTGTTGATTCTCTGAAGAACCCATTCAAATACAACCATCTACAGCAATAAAAACAGAAACCTGAATGGCTTTGAATGAAGATGATGTTATAACAATGGAAGAAATTCAAGAATGACTCAAACTAAGCACAGATGAAAAAAGAGACTTATACATGAAATGTCAATTCATTTTAAACAATTTCACCAAACACAAAGTTCTATGACTTTCTAACCATCAATGGAAGGCCATTCAGCTTGTCTACAAGCACTAGAAGCAACAGCTGAAGGTTATTCACATCTAACACAGATTGATGACACTGACATGCTAGAACAGAATTCAAAAGACATTCTACAACTATGAGAAAACTTTGCATTAGATGGAGGATGGTACTCTCAACATTAAATTAAAATATATGCACTAATGCAACTGATCATGTCCACTCTGGTTTGAAAAAAGTTTCTATATCCAATGATGCATACTAAATTGATCAACAAAGATGTCATTGAGAAGATGTCATTCTTTTTTGACTTTCTCCACTATGATTATCAATTCTAACTAGCAACAGAGCACTGACTTTCAGTGAGGACACTGATCATTAAAAGATATTCTTCAGCAACTGACATGGAACCTTCTGTACATACTTACTGAAGTAGATTAGTTAGTAATTAGTCATTCTTGAGCTTATCATTGAAGCTTGAGGGAACAAGAACAAGACATCTTCTACTACTCAATCAAAATCACATGGACATTCTGTAGCTCTTATGGACCAGGTAACAGAGACTGAGACTTAATTTAAAGAGATTGAAATTATTTAATTAGAAGTAGAGATTCTCAATTTCCCTAAACTTAAAATAAAATCTTATTTTATACTATTTTTAGTATCAAAATCATATACAAATGTATATATCCATTCTGATTTAATGTGTCAATTTTTCAATTTTGTCATATTATAATGTAATAATACACTTTCAAAATAGAGTTTGAAGAAAAATTAAAGTTATTTTAGAGATAGAGAAATCCAAAGATGAAACTTAAAATATAACATTTAAAACTGAAAAGAGAATGAAACTTGTATTCATATTTTGAGCTGAAATTGAGACTAACTTTCAAATTTTGAGAAGAAATTGAGATCAACTGAATTGAGTTTGACTTTCAGTCTTGTCCCATTGGAATTTCAAAGAGATTCCAACACTCAGCCTAATATGAAGATAAATATTTAAATTATTCACTGTCTTTAAGAATTTAATTCTGACTTATTTTTATTAAAGAAGTCTATGTGATGATGAATTTCACTTATATTTAATAAAATTATTCTTAAAGTATTCTTCTATTCTCTACATATTGATATGTATTAATTGATATATTACAATACAATTTTGTTGAGCAACTTGATTGTGAAAATGGTGGGCTTTGGTGTAAAAGTAAGGGGGGTGCCAACACTTTTGACCTAGTACTGTATGTCCCCTTGCTTCTTAAAGATTTCTGTAAGGTGAGAGGAATCTTTAAGAAAATCCAATGATCTGAATGATTACAATTTAACACAGAAAGGCATGGCGCTCTCAACTCTTTGTTCTGCGTATTTAATGGTCATGGTGGTTCAGAGGCTTTGTTTCTTGCTGTAAATTGCCATTGCTAGTAATCCTAGAAAGATTGCACAGGATGTTTTACACGAAGTTCTATCCATTATTAACCAATATAGACCTGTTCAATATTCAATCAACAAGAATCCCCGGTATGTCCGAAGGAACGGAACCTGACGGGGAAATAATTTCAAACTCATTCCATGATGCGGCTCCTGGCACCTGGGAGTTAGATGAGGATAATAACCCTGGAAATATAGGCCCGCTACTGCGGGCTGTGACAAGAGATACAGGATGCATGACGCCCGATGGTTGCTGCTTGGTGGTCACAGAACTGGCCTGCTTCGTTTCCTTCTTCGTATTCGACTTGCTCACCCGGAAAGCCGATTGAATCTTCCTTTGCCCTGGAGCCTCCTTCGTAGAAAGTGTTTTACGTACCCTGGCTTTCCTCGGCCGTTGTGATTCACCTAAAAAGGAGTTTTTCCCTTTGGCATTTCCCGAATGTGCAAGGGTAGTGGCACATACTTTTTCTCCCTGACCGACTCCTGTGGATGTTCGAACAACAACTGCAATTTTATCCGTTTGTTCTCGTTTAAGTCGTTCCGCCTCGGATACTGAACATACGTCGAATATATCTTCACTTTCGCAATGGCCTTCCTTCCCTCGGAGACCTGCAAGGTCTGCAACGTCATCGCAGTTGCCTTTGACCACAAGATCCCAACATTGTTCAAACTCTCTTCCAAGAGGCGCTGCGTCGTGATTAATCCAGATGGTAACCCCATCCTTCCTTCCATGAACCACACGGCACATTTCTTTTACAATGCGGCGAACGCCTGGTATTTTTAAGCTTGTTCCAACCACTACTAGAGCATCGGGCCTAGTGCGTAAATCAGCTCTCACTACAGAGCCAATCGCCTCTTCATCTGGGTTATCTTCATTGTAAAGCACTATCCGTGGTCTTAGCTTTCCAACTCCCCGTCGTCGTTGGCCCGTATTCATACGATGCAGATCTGCTTCACAGCATTTGGCGCAGAGTGGTGGATCGGGCCCATGAAATAATTCTGCCTTGAAATCGGATGTGTGTCTGCACTTATGGCACGTCATCTTTTTCAAGCCACCATGGAGCTGAATCGTACGTGGCCATGGGGAACCCAATGGTAACGGTACTTGAGTGTTCAACAGTGGTAGGGACTCATCAATACCGTCGATATTTTGAGTATACAGACGTAGTAGGCGTTGTTCTGTGGCAAGGTTGCTGAGAAAGCGATGGAACGCAGATGGCTGTGCTGTCGCGGCCATATCCGAAAGGGACCGAACCATGTCGTGGAACGTAGAAGTCATTGACCTATCTAGGTAGACAGATGCATCGAAGAGCTGTTTTCCAGACGCTTTCAATTTGTGGTCTTTACGCAGTGTTGTAAATAGTCCATGAGAAGATCTAAAATCGGGAACTAATGTGTATTGGGTTCAGTTTTTTCCGCTAGCGTATAGAATGGAATGAAACGCACTTCCTGAAGAAACTGATATACCAGCTCCTGCCACAACAACAATCTTTTTCCTTTTCCTGAGTGTTGCAAGGAGCAACTCTAAGCTCTCCTTCCCAGCCCCGAGGGCAGGTAGGCTCAGATCAAGGTGTCTCGTAATTCGGGGCCTGCAATGTCCTTTTGATCCAGCGTTCCTTGTAGAAATGCCTGGTTGTTCAGTAAGTTTGACGGGATCTCTCGAGATCACCTGCTGGTTGTGTTCGCAGTTTTGAGTGGAAAAAGAATAGAATCCTAACGGTGGTTTAGGAGATGAAGGTGGAGAGCTAAGCGTAGATGAAGTGTCAGATAGGTATAAGGCCATGTTCGCGTTGTTGTTGACACGATGTATAAGCTGTCAGCGTTCGAGTAATGAGAAAACGATCGGAAGGTTAAAAGGCAAGCCTTTATCCAGTAGCCATATTAATAAGCTAATAAGAAATATTGAAAATAGTGCAGAGTAAGCTACAAAAAAGTGAGTTCGTGGAAGAGTTGTGTCAGCTCTGATTGTTGCAAAGGCCTGTGTTTACAAAGGGCATGGGGTAGTTACCTGCACGTTATGCCAAGCATACAGTTGGGTGCAAAAGTACTCCGTATTGTGCAATGTGCCAAATTCATGTTTAGCGTGCCGTAGAAACTCCCGTTGAGCCCATACTACCACAACGGAATTACGTGGGCCCGAGAAACTGTGGATCTGTATCAGAGCCCGAACAATAACCACTCTACTCCGTATGCTGTAACTAGCAATGTTCCATTAGTAAAATTGAGGATTCAGACTACTGTGTTTGATTTTATAATACATAATTATCAATTCTATGAAACATTGCTGCATTTTGAAGATGAAGACTTTATTGTGATGAAGCATATTTAGAAATCATGTATATACTTTGGAAATATTGCCTACACTCTGCAGCAACTACTAGACAATGTAAGTGAAAACTTGATTGAAAACCCAACAGCAGACTTTGGGATCCCAATGGAACAAGACTGAATGTCAATCCCAATTGAGTTGATCTCAATCTCTTCCCAAAATTTGGAAGTCAGTTTCAATCCCATCTCAAAATATGAATAAAAGTTTCATTCACTTCTCAGTTTTAAATTTTATATTTTAAGTCCCAACTCTACATTTCTCTATCTCTAAAACAACTTTAATTTTTTTTCAAACTTTATTTTGAAAGTGTATTTTTACACCTAAATATGACAAAATAGAAAAATTGACACATTAAGTCAAAATGCATGTATACATTTGTATACAATTTTGGTACTAAAAATAGTATAAAATAAAATTTTATTTTAAATTTAGAGAAATTGAAGATTTCTATCTCTAATTAAATAATTTTAATTTTTTTAAATTAAGTTTCATTTTCATTTCAGTACTTGAAACTCAAGTCTCAGTTCCATCTCAGTTTGAACTATTAAGTTTCAGTCCCATTCCAATTTCTCATTAGTGCATTAGAGACAGAATCTCAGTTGGGAAATCCCTGTCTCTGCAGTCAGTCTAGCTGAAATTGAGACTAACTTTCAGATTTTGAGAAGAGATTGAGATCAACTCAATTGAGTTTGACTTTTACTCTTGTCCCATTGAGATGTCAAAGAGATCCCAACAGTCAGTCTATTAATAATTAAGTAGATGACTTAGTTAAAATTATTAAAATTACAAAAAACTTTCTCTTCTCCACTTTTATCATTATCTGTTTTAATATTACTGTTGTTATTTCTGGAAAATAATTTAAATTTTTTTAAAAGTAAAAGAATCTTGAGATTATTTTTTATATTGCTAAAATAAGTAAGTTCACTCTTCTGTAAAGATTGACAGTCAAAGTAAGCTACAAAAGAGCAGTAGAATATTTAAGATGCTGTAATTAAATCAATTACTAATTAGTATTTATATTATACTGAGTTCTTCAATACTTCTACATTTAAAAAATTATGTAATTTAATTAAATACTGAAAATTGTTTAAGAAAAGAAAATGCAATATTTTTTCAATTATATTTCTCTTGTAATGTTAATAACATATTAATATTAGTTTTTAGATAATATTATTTTATATATTTTCAGACTTCTCTTTTGTCTTACTAAAACTGCATCTGTCATTAATAGAGTGAACATTAATTACTGTCATATTTAGTGTGACACTACTGTTATTGAAAAGTATATGTTTTCTTTATTATTATATTATTTCTCTTTACTATATATAATTTCATTGCTTTTCATTTTTCTTCACTTTACATTTTAATCATTTTAGATATTAATAAAAATAATAACTACAGTAATCATTAAATAATCATATTTTACTATTTACACAACAAAACAAAGAATTTTTTGTTTTTGTTTTCAACTTTTAGATGAATGAGTAAATTCATTTTGTTAGTTTGCTACTTAATAAGAAGAAGATCAATATATTGATGTGCTCAATATGGTGAGCATGTACTACATTTCACAAAAAATATGTAGTAACTACTGCAGTCAATGTTGAAACTACAATGCGTTTGTTAATCTTATGTAACAGTTTGGAAAATTGGTATTCAGATGGTAGTGAAAAGATCTTGGCTTTTGCTATGGCCAATTCAAATGGGAGAGAGATAAAGTTGAGAAATTATTAGCAGAAGATTTTTTGTAATCAAAATAAGAAAATAGAAAAGGTTGGAAATCAATATCTCATATACCTACTTCTCATTGCATTGTAAATTAATATTTATTCATTATTCCTAGAGCCTGAAGATTTTATTGGGTGTCTAGCGCCCACTTAGGGGGCCCGTGGTGCGATTAATTAGGCCAAACGATCAGTTTCAGTTTGAAGAACAAAAAATTTGTTAATATTTATATCTAAAAATATTCACAATCTCTGAATTTTACGCGCTGGGAAAAAATCACCGCCGGTACCACATTCGGGTAATTTTTGTATGGCGCATCTTCTTCTGTAGTTGGAAGATGCCATACATAAGAGCTTCAGAAGTGGGCGGACCTGTCAATTGTGAGCCTATTAAACATGAAAACCATTTGCCAAATGTTCAACCTACAGCCAGGAACATAGACATCAACAGGAACAATTCTGTCACACCCTCGAGTGACTGAATAACTATAGTGATAATAACCACCTCCATTCGCGCAACTGCCCATACTAATAACCCAACGTGGATCCGGCATCTGATCATACACCTGTCTTAAAGCCGGGGCCATCTTGTTTGTCAGAGTACCAGCCACAATCATAACATCGGATTGACGGGGAGATGCCCGAAAGATTATTCCTAATCGATCTTGATCATAGCGAGGTGTTGAGAGATGCATCATTTCAACGGCACAGCAAGCAAGACCAAATGTCATCGGCCATAACGAACTCTGTCTTGCCCAGTTTGCGACTTGATCAAGTGTGGTCCTTGATATGAAGGTGAATACAGTTGAAGTTAAAAGTTAGGATAGAAGGAACACAAACAAGGCAAATTGTATAGCGCCCCCTTTCTTTTCTTGACTTGGAAGGGGCATTTCGATCCTGGCTTTTTGAACCTGCTTTGTCAAACGTGGAACTGATCGTTCCGCTGCGGCTGTAGAGGATAATGTTGATAGCCTAGGTGATAAGGAGACTTGAGTAGCCAAAGGACTTAGCACCGGGCGATTCACTAAAACAAGTGATTAGCAACCGGATACTTCACTCTCAAGTTAAAGATACCTCGTAATAGGGTCATCGCCCTGCCATGACAGCTAGAGTGCATGTCACAAAAGTTTCCTTGGCTCCAATGGACTGCAGGTGATTCAGCAGACTCGAATAACGCCCGAAAAGTAGAAATTATATGTCTTAGTTATCTAGTATAAAACAAGCAGGGAGTTGTAGGCATGGTATTCAGAAGGTGCTATGGTTGGGAGTACAGAGTAGTTTAGGTAGGTAGTTAGGCAACTAATTGGTAAGCTTCTATTGGCTACTAGCCTACTAGCATGAAAAATGTTCCCAATCCCATAGCGGAATCGCGGATCTCTGCACTACCATCGGGTTACCGATTTTCCGAGCTGTTACGTAACCATTACCACCACCTCAAAGTTTCAATGTTGGCTACGGAGTACAGTAACTACTATGTATTTTGACTACTACATAGTAAGAGCTCACTATGTTGAATCTACTATATAGTAATGTCAACCTTACATTTTTAAATCTAATAAGGAAATGATCAGCAGGTGAAAAAATTTCATTCATCTTTTTCAAATCTTGAAGTCACTCACTAACTCTCTTCTACAGTAGAAGCCTACGCGATTTTCTACTATTCTACTAGCTAGGCTAGCAGATGATTTCTACTATCCAACTAGGTAGACTAGTAGGTGATTTCTACTACTGTTTTCATAGTTTTTGTGGACTTGGAAATTTTCTGAAAGGTTCTTTGTATGTAGATGTAATTGTACTTGTGGTAGAAATAGCTAGCTGTACTCCAATACAAAACATTATGAAAGTTAAATACACTTAACCAAGTTAACTCTAATTAACTCTATGCAAGACAACATTGAGAACACTGACTTCAGTTGTGGCAATCAACAAAGATAATATTACAATTATTGTTTCAACATTGTGCTAAGTTACTAACTTACTATGTAGTTGTTACCTATGGCTACATTGCCACTACTATAACATTATGATATTCCACAGATGTGAAATTCTGTATGGAATTTTGCTCTAAGAAATCTTAACAATATGTGTCTGATGCAATGAGACCAATCTTCTTACAAGTTTTGTTGCACCTGCTCCATATCATATACCAGATAGAGTTTTTGGGGCAAGCAGCCAATTTCAGAAATTATAATTATATTATGAGTACAGAGAACTTTTGTTCTAATTTTAGATGGTCAGATGTTCTACATATGTCAAAAATTCATTCTCTACCAGAGTTGAACTTTATCAAGATTCAGTAGACTTGATTGAGATATCTATTTAACATTTATTGAAAATCTAAATTAGTTTTTTGTCATGTTCATTGTAAACTAGATCTGCTCTAAAAGCTAGTACTCTAGTAGTTAGTGCAGCTTTAAGATCTCTAATCTCACTACTAGACTAATCATTCAAATTTCTTTCAGATTTTAATGGAAGAAGACTGAAAGTCAAACTCAATTGAGTTGATCTCAATCTCTTCTCAAAATCTAAAAGTTAGTCTGAATTTCAGTTCAAAATATGAATAAAAGTTTCATTTTCTTCTCAGTTTCAAATTTTATATTTTAAGTTCCATCTCTACATTTCTCCATTTCTAAAACAACTTTAATTTTTTTTCAAACTTTATTTTGAAAGTGTATTTTCACACCAAAATATAGAAAAATTGACATATTATGTCAAAATTAGGCTGACCAT